ACAAACATGCAGCAGCCAAAGGGTGCAAGGTTCGTATTCAATCTCCACTACAGAAAAACTTTTCAGCTCCCGTGTGACCAAAAATTTAGACAATGGCTCGGCTCATTCCCGCAAGCTATGGCGCGTGGTGACGAGGCTTGTCGTGGCGTGGCGGGTGGCGGAGGAGGTGCGCACGTGAATGTTTCTCTTGCTCTCATCCTCATACATGTGGAGAAACAACTTCCCTTATAAGGAGGTCTAACTCCTACTAGGTGAGAAGTATGGGACTAAATTTTAGTGCCACCTCTTGACTTGTATTAATTGGTTAAGTGGGCCTCTAGCATTTATTAGGAATTCTAAAAATGCTATTGAACTGGCCCAAAAATAGATTAAATTTCAACAGTATTGTACGATCTACATTGATGTTGGAGTTCTAAAGGGAAGAGGAGGGTCAACAACGGCGGTATGTAGCCATAGAGATGACAACTACCTTGGGAAGTTCAGCTCATGTCATTGAGGGAGTCTTTGACCCTGCCACACTGGAAGCCATTGCATGTCGAGAAGCCTTATCCCTTGTAGAAGACCAACATCTTCAGAATGTGGTCATAGCATTAGACTGCAAACAAGTAACCTCTGATATATCCAAGGGTGCTCGAGGTAGATACAATGCTATCATTACTGAGATAAATCTCAAAGCTCATAGCTTAGCTAAGTTCTTGCTTTCGCGAGGTGCGGGGCACCACGTAGTTTGGCCAACCCAATGACCCTCATTGTATCTCACTACATGTGGATTTTGATGAATAAAGCTTGTTGTTACCCCTCAAAAAATTTCTTTGACTTGTTGACCATGATTACTTGTTTGGACTTTTGTTGAAACGTCTTATCCTCATTAACTACTCCCTCCATCCGGAAATACTTGTCGGCGGAATGGATGTATCTAGATGTATTTTAGTTTTAGATACATCCATTTTTTATGCATTTCTGCGACAAGTATTTTCGAACGGAGGGAGTACATCGCACTTTTGTTGACCTCCATAAAACTTGTGGACTTTTGTTGAGCATCCATCCAGATAAGTGGGCCTTTTAAGCACGTGAACACTTATTTCTGAAGTCATAAGCATCCATTCGGATATAATGAACACTTTTCTCGCAACACGTAAAAATATTTTATTATTAAGTCTATCTCCACAAAAATATTTTTAAAACCTCTACAAAAGGATATTTCTCATTTGTTTTCCAAAAATCTCAGTGTAGAGTTTTTTTTCCCGTAAAAAACCCAGTGCAGAGGTTTTGAGGCGTCCATATGAGGCCATATAGGGCCTCAAGGCCCATGAAAGAATTTCACGCGCCAAACCCTAACTAATACCCTCCGCCTCCTCCTCCCCTGGCCGCCACCGCCCTCTTCGTTACGCGCCGCATCGGATTAGGCCGCAGCGCCCGCCGCCCGTCGTCGACCCCGATCTAAGCGCGCCGCCGGCTTGCTTACTCCCCGGCCCATCCATAGCATGACCAGTGGGTTGCGCGCCGTTGCTTCAACTGGATCCCACCCCAACCAGGTCGCCCTCGCCCGCCTCCTTCCCCAATCTGACGGCAACAGCGCCCGCCTCACCCCTGCTCGATCCTTTGTTTGCAAGGTAAGGTTATTCTAAACTTTTCTTTTGCTGGATGCATGTATTATAATGAGCTAACTGTAGAATTTGTTGGATTTACTACTCTCTCTCTGTCCCAAAATATAAGATCATTTCGGGTGTACTAGCTAGACTACATGTCTCTATGATGAATCTTGTTTAGTTATATGCAGCTTATAACACACATTTCAATAACAACAAAAAGATTGTTGTCATTTTCATGTGCCACATGAATCTAATATGTGTAATCATGTGTGCTCACCAGCTATTATATTGCCGGTGGAAGATAAAGATAATCAGGCGAGCTATTTTCTTAGTACTAACCTGCTATTTGTTTTCTTAACCACCAGGCTCAGTATTTATGTTTGTCTGAACTTCCCCAGTAAGATACCAGAGACATTTGGAAGGAAAGTAATCAATGGAAGTTCTAGAAAAAGTGAGGCTTATTCTTCAGGTATATTTCTCTAATATCCTAAGGGCCATTTAGAAAAGAATAGTCAGATTTGGTGAAAGAAGTAGTGTCATTCTCCATGCTACTTTCCCTTGAAACTAGTGAAAGCATCGATGATTCGGGTAATGAGAAATTCATGTTCTTGCTGCATTCTTCCTTATAAATAATAAATGTTCGCACTTATTTTTTCATCCTGTTTTTCTGTTTTATTCCTGCCACAATGTGCTTATCCACTAGCCACTTGCTATCAAAGGTAAAACTGAAAGGCCTTTTTTCTTCTATAGCTGCAAGTAATATTGAAATAGGCTAGGCATGTTGTGGTTATGAGCAGCTAATTAGCTGCAAGTGTCTTTTGTTTAACTGTAGCTTTTCTTTTGTTTGGAAATGATAATCTTCCTTAGGTAGCATCAAATTAATCCCCTGCCCATTCTCTGATAAATTTAATTTTATATTGCAGATACATTATTTAGTGCTCCATTGTTCGTTTAAGAAGCAACTCCATTAGCACGCGTGTTGTCACATGATGAAAGCTGCCATAAATGCATTCTTGACACTTTTAAGTAGTCTAATTAGATAATTTATAAGTTTTTGTCTAGAGCGGAGGATGCACTAACGTTGCTTCAGGATCTGTTTATTTGCAATTTCAGTTTGATACTTTTTCTAGAAAACTGGTTTTAGATTCTTACATGTAGTAAACTGTTGAACCACAGTTTAGCCAATATGGATTCATGTTTCTGAATGAAGGTCTTCTACCTGTTATTTTAATAGCATTGTCAGTTTATCTAAACTAAGTATCTGCCAGATTTTACTAATGGAGGAGTTGTTGGCAACTTACTGTGTCCATTAGCATTAAACCAAGCGTTGGAGCATGCTAAGGTATTTTCAAGATTATCTTTGTGGGTTTGGGTACCTAGTGCTAGGATTTGTCCTTTAAGTGGTGTTGTATGACATGCTATGGAAGTAAAGGAAATTGATGGCAGTCCCTAACTTGGTAAAAACATTAGTACATGTTTACTGGCATAGCAAAATTTGTTTTCGAACAACCAGGAGGAGCTCTGCTTTTTCACATAGAAGAAGAGAATTGAGCCGAAAACTGCCTTTTGATGTTTACCGGCATAGCAATTTTTCCTGCTCAAGAGCTTATATGATCTACTGACACAAGTTTATTGCTCTTAGCTGATTACTATTCAGTGACTTCTACATATATTTTCCAGTTCTATGAAAGAGGACACCAATAAATAGATAGCCTGCCTTTGCTTTTTCTCTAAAGGTTGACTGACCTTCTAAATTTCTTTCTTCATTGCAGTCTGTTATCTCAGTTCACATTACTGTGCAGCCAAACTGTTTTCATGGTTATCTGGTCTCCTTTTCTTCAATTGTTTTAGAACTGGGGCACATTGATCATTTTCATTTTCTCTCCATGACTTCAACATGCCCTACACCTCAGTTTTAATGGCATGTCAGCAATTATTTTAAGAGGAGTTCTGCTCCAGGCTGATACATAGATAAATTAATATCATTCTCAGTTCAAAGTGTATGTTTCACGGGCCTGCCTTTCCAAAAGTAAAGAGCCAAAAGAGATACATATGACCAGCTGGTGCTGACCCCCAAGTTATTTTTTTGAAACAACGAGGCTCCTCGTTGATTTGCATTAAAGAAACCACCATAAAGTTATTACAACTGAAACAGTTACAAACGAAAAAGAAAAAGCAAAGGCCTGCTGGCCGGACAAGACTTAGCACCCAGGCTAAACAGCAGCCTACCTCACCACAGCCAAAGCTAAGCTCCAAAGGTGCACAAGCCAAAGCTCAACCCAGCAGGTCATGTTTTATCACACCTGCAGACAGGAAACAAGCCAAAAGAAGATCCAATCCCTGCCAGAACCTCAGATAAGAATATTTAGCATTCTCAGATCCAACAACAGAAATCTATTAGCATCTATACCCAACAAGAGTCCACCAGACTTTCCTGTGGGATCTAATGCTGCCAGACAAAAAAATGATGGCCAGAAAGCTTCTTTGCCCAAGTTTGATTGGAATCCATATAAAGGATACTGTCAAAGCAATGAATTGGATCCCAACACTCAGAAATCAATGCCCTCGGGAACTTTTGTTTGTCAGGGTGTCCCAACCCCTGCAATTCCAAAAGATTCCTGACATTCTTAACCTTTTGTTTTGGGGGTCTACCCCTTTTTTTGTCTAGCTCAACCCTGGAAACAGGGGAGCACAGCATGAGGATTTCCCCCCTTGGGTTAAATAGATTAGCCTTTTCAAGGCTAGCATATAACCGAGCTTGAGGTTCCCTAGGGTAATTGTTTCTAATTTTTGTCATGTGAGATACTGCGATTTTTGAACTTCGAATGCAATTTGTCCTAAGGTTAGTAATTGTGTGCTTGGTTCCTTCTTTCCTTCACCTCATTTTTTTTCCTTCTGAACTTAACCTCCGAAAATGCATGTTCATATATGGATTCATGGTATATCGTGTTCAATTGGCTATCTCATCTTGGCAGTTCATATTTCTTGGTACATATTTAGACCCATGGTATTGTGTACAGTTTGATCTACTTTTGGTCTTGAAAGTGGTGCCTTTAGTGTGTATTTGATTGCCATGTGAACTCCGCAATTGCTCACACCTGTAGAGCTCTTCTCGTTGGAGCAGAATGAGAAACGCTTAACAACAGTAGGTAGTCTGTGATTTCTTTTGGCCAATCAGCTTATATATTCGTCTCAGAACAATGAACGTACAAACATTTTTCCATGCTTCTGTACATATAGAGAGCATATTCACTATGTTCTGGTACAAGTGTAGGTTAATCAGCCATCGGTGAGGATGGTTACCATTCTGCAACCCGGGCATCCTATCTAGCTTATATACATGCATGGTAACACAAATGGGCACAAACTGTAGAGACACAGACGAAAGTACACCCTCAGTATAGTCATTTAGTCTGACCATGTGATCTTCACATCTACCTGACCGTCCTCCCCATCGAGGTGCAACACATGATAGTTGTTGAGGTCGGCCTGGCATGTCGCGAGGCCTTTCACGATCTTACCATTGGAGTGATTCTGTAGATCTACTTCGATCTGTAGGGATGAGTCCAACGGCACGGCAAGAACTGATCTAGACAGTGGTATGGTTGTTGGTTCTTGTGACGACCCGATGTGCATGCTCTCATTGTTTGATTCGAATAGCACGACCTCACCTAGATAACTTCGAGCAATGATCCTCCCGTAGAAAGTATTCTCTCGTTGCTGGTGAAGCTTCACCTCAACAATAGCTTCCACCGCGTTGCTCAGAAGAGCGTATGTAACCACTGCTCTGGGGTGGTTATTGCACGTACAGCCCAGTTCCTCTGTGACAGCTTCATTATATTTTGTGGATGGATCATCTATGTCCAGAAGTATCTCAGCATGGCAATCATCAATATTGTACTCTAGGACAACGCACCCGTCCAGCGAGATCACTCGATATGGCCCCGTTAGCAGAAGCGGGCAGTGATTGTTGGCATTCTGTTTAATCATAGTGACAGATGGAATTTTGTCAAATTTTGCATTCACCTTATCTATTTATCTAATACCCTTTTTTTGAAACAGATGGGCGCTGGGCCGATTCATGCTGTTAAGCAGGGATGAAATATATGCTGGAATCAAACTCCAGGCATATGATATCATCTGAAAGCAAAATGGCATGTCCTATACTTCACACATTTGTCTTACTATTGACATGCAGAACTGCTGACCTGAGTGCCAGAATTTGAAGGTCTGAGAGACGCCCTCTTGCCGGCCTGGTTGCTGCTTTGTGTGTAGATGATCTGTCCACGCTTACCATCATAGACGATGATGGTGCAGCTCGGATCTCCCCTGCCTTTATAACTTATGGACAGCACCTCTGCCATTTCCCGTCCGAAGGACAGCATCGGAGGAGAACACAAGGTCTTGAGACCGATTCTCTCTCTTTCTCTCACTTTAAACCCGGCCTCAAGATTATGACTCATTCCCTAATCTGTACGAGGCAGTAGGTCGGTTAGTTGTTGTGACATTACAGGTACCAAGGTTCATCTATATATTCATAGGCAATATCCTTTTGGCAGAAGGAAGCAACTTTTTTCCTTCTTTTTTTTCTTATAAAAAAAGTGAGCAACTCCCGGGAATTGCTCTAACTTGGTCATCGTCAATCAAAATATAAAATGATGTTGCGTCTGCTGGCCTGTAACCTTCTGGCTCAAGCTAGGGGCCCAACAAGTGGCAATATTAGAAGAAAGCTCAAGGCACGTATTCCACAGTTAGTTTATTACTCAAGAGTTGAACAGCCTTTCTTTTACAGTTCAACATAGTAAATTCATAAATACTCGGTTTGGATTAGTCAAACTATAGTTGGTAAATGTAGACATAGTGCTGAAGACAAGCTGCCACCAGCTGCCCCTATACAAGAATATATGATCGGACTATAATATTGTACTAATAAATGTCTGCGACGAATGCCTGCCCCGGTTTACATCTAGCTTAACGCTGTAATCGCGAGCAGTAACCATCATCGAAAATGGCGATGGTGAACTAGAGAACTGAAGAAGTTCGTTCCGTCAGATGCATCCATCGGGCAAGAGAACTGAAAAAGTTGGACAATGGTTGTGTAGTATTGCGTTTGCAATGATCGATTCATCTTACCAAAAGTCTGATTGCTTGGCGTTACAATTCTCTGCCTACCTTCCTCTCCACGGAAGTCTGCTTCACAGGCTCGTATTCCTGTGATATGACGCCTTTGTAAGAAAATATATAACGAGTACTACAATTCTAGAACAAGGACATCTAGCAAGTAATGTGGACTAGTTGTACATATACATACGATATATGCTTGCTGCGTTATGTTAGAGCATCTCCAGCCTTTCGGCCCCACAGGGCGGCGAAAAAAAGCCGCCTAGGGTGAACGGGCGCAAGTTTGGTGCATGAGGGCGACTCCGTTCCTAGTCGCTCGGCGGAACTTTGTATAAATCTATGCAAACTCGGCGAAATTTCATTGAAATTTGTACAAGAAAAATAGATAAAACATGCAAACTACGCCTAGCCACTGCGCCGCGTCCACCGCCCGCCATTTACATGCCGAGAAGCCTATAGAAATGGGTGTAGTCATCGTCACTGTCGTCATCGTCGTCGTCGCGCGCCCCGCTGGAGCCGCCGTCGTCCCTGCCCAGGGTCACCGACGTGCGGTGGGGCGTTGGACGGTCCAGCCTCGTCCTCCTCGTCGCTGTTGAGGAAGATGACGCCGCCCTCCTCGCGCCCGCGGCGCCGGGCCTGGAGCTTCGCGTATGCTAGGCGCTGGCGGCGCACCTGCTTGCGGACGTAGTCATTTTAGGGCGGCCTCGTCATCGGGGGCCACCATGTCGACGTGCTCCAGCTTCACGGGGAGCAGGCCTGGCTCGGGCTTTGGTCGGACCAGGCGAAGGGAGTGCGGGGAGGAGCGGGCACTCTCGTTGATGACGAGGGCGCCGCTGTGGGTGCGGCGCCGAAGCGGTGGTTCCTCCGGCTCTGGCTTGACGGGGCGGAGAGTCGGCGAGCCGGAGGAGAGCGAGCCGGAGCACGACGACGAGGATGTCGGCTCCATCTGTTGCGGCGTCCAGGAGCTGCCTCGGCGGCGAGAGAAGGATGCTCGCCCCGGGTACTCGAGGTGCGGCACGTTGCGGGTCTCGATGTGATCGAGCACGTCCTCGAGGGTGCGGCCTGGCACGCCCCACCACTCGTGCCGCCCTTCGGCATTGAGGCGGCCGCGGGGGATGATGCCGTTGACGGAGGCGATCTGCTCCTGGCGGCGGCGCTCAAAGTACATCGTCCACAGCGTTTCGCTGTCGGCGGCGTACCTCGGCTTGTTCCGCTGCTCCTTCGTCAGGGACGGGCGGATGCGGGCGATCTCGGCCCGCCGTGCCGCCCCTTCGGGCACGGGTGGCATCGGGACGCCGCCGGCGCTCAGCCTCCACGCCCCCAGCACACGCATGTCTGGTGGCGCCGGATACTCGACCTCGTAAAGGC